TGTCTACTGCTCGCACAATGGAGATCAGGTGACGACCAAGACGTTCCAACAACTGAGTGAGATGTCTGATGAGAGATAGATACCCAGTGGCACAACTAGTCATTTTAATACTCACTATTAAGAAAGGTTGTTTCCATATCAGATGTCTAATCATGCTGGGAGTTAACGCTAAGCCTTTCCCAGCTTGTCAGAAGCACCACCAGAATCCCTAATTGATTAAACCCTCTGCTAACAACTGATCCAGGTCGATACCGTGGTAGTGGATGCCCCATTGGGTAGTTCCGACTATTGTCTAGTGAAAACTGTATCCGTATACTCCCCACCCGATCAGGACGCTAGTAATATGAGATGTGGCGATACAGCTTAGCAAACTGGGATAAAATGCTCCATTTGTTTGCATCATAAACCTAGCAGGCGTGCTTTATTCAGGGGACTCGTCGAGCTGCACTGTTGCTGTAGTCGAGATGTTGCCCGTGGAGTACATATGTACCTATTAGACTCCTAGCTCGTCCATGGTTTAGTGCTGATTGTATTTGCATGGCGTGCCGCCAAACCTTGAAGACAATGACATCCTGAGTAATCGCCAGTACGGATTCCGATGAGGGCGATCTAAGGGAGATCTCCTTGTGTATGACTCTCACGTATGGAGCGAGGCTATAGAAAAAGCAAAGCGAAGCCCTTGCAATCTTTTTTGACTTTTCTAGACTTTTTTCTTTGGCTGGCCGTCCCACCTTGGATTCAGTTGTAAAGTGTGCCAAGAGGCTTATAGGTGGCTTATAGACATGGCTATAATAGTGTATGCCATCTTTTGCCTCTCTATAAGAATAAGAATGAAGAAATATAACTAGAAACGTTTGAATTGACATTTACATTTATCGATACGTTGAGGTATCGATACTTTTGATTCGATACTTTTTATCCGATACTACTCTTAACTACAGGATCGATATAGGGGAGTCCCACAAGTGGAAACTCACCCGGAAGTAAGTTAAATGTGCCACAGAGGCCCTAAAATAGTCTACAGTACAAAATGCCACGTTCAATAACAATAATTGCTGTGAACACTCTGATAGCACGTTCACTGTCAGGCTAAAAATTGAAATTGTGTGTGGTGGCCAAACAGTTTTTTAGTTTTTCTTGTGCTCAATTTAAGTAGTAAAAAAGTAAGTGTGTATATATATACACGTTTATTATTATGTACATAGGATTTATGTGCTTTAAATATCAATCACGCGATATAGCGTAACTGGCCATACATAATGCAATTATTGTCACCATGGCCGGAAACGCGATATCGTGTGATATGTAATTCGGTGAAATAAGTTATATATTTTACAAATAAAATAATTATAATTTTAATTATCAGTCTTTTATAATCACGTAGAATTTTTTTTTAAATAGCGTGCAGTTACAAAACATGATAATTATGAAAAATCAACATTTACCTATAAGGAACTTACTAGTTTTAGTTTCGTTGGACTGATTATTATAACAATAGACAGAGTGTCTGGAGGTCATCCCCACTACACGAAAATCGATACTTTCCCGTCAGTGGCCAATATAAATATTACGCGCCGTTTTGCTGTGGCCGCTATATTATGCCGCTTAGAAACTTGGTAGCGACGTCCACGCGATAACGCGTGATCGGCTGTTTGGAGAGACTCTCATCACGCGATATCGCGTGAGTGGCAATTAACGTGATAGCGCGTTCTATTTCGATTCCAGTGCCATTTAACTAAAATTGTAGTTATTGGGCTGTGGTGTTACAGCTTTAAATATATTAGAAGAAATTTGTTAGTATGGTACGTTGTAAGAGTATGTATGTGAGGGCCCGTATTTATAATACACAAGATTAATTGTGTTTATTTTACTTCCATTTGTCCGGTGCCATTACAATAATAATACATGGCAACCTTCAACAGTCAGCTGTGACCATGGGACCCTGTACGGAGCTAAAAACATTGGTTTGTTTCAAAAACAAGTACATACGATAGTCGATATGTGATAAATGTTTGTTTATACGTTTTCGTTGTGCTTTAATTGGAATCTAATGCGTCAACTTTTATAAGAATCGATTAAAGAAAAATGGATGAAACTCAATAAACTGCATTCATCCCCTAATTTGCCACCCTAAAGGTGGAATATCTTCTTCAAAGAATGGGACGACTCAGTAGCCAAGCTACCCTTTCCAACGAAAAAAAATCAATGAAAAAAATCGTGTAAAACACACACAAAAAAATACAGACGAATTGAGAACTCTTGATAACTCCTCTTTTTTGAAGTCGGTTAAAATCCGAATAGTCGTAGGTACTTAGTGGTGCTATTTTGTAGATACGCGTGATTCGTATTATATGCGTCAGGGGTACCTATCAGTAGTTCGAAATGACATTGTCCAGGAATAACGTTTGGTCGAATTTTCATAACCTCGCAAGTAATTTTGAGAGAAAAATATTTTTTTCTTTTAAACCTAACCAATGAATAGCGACGTTTCTAGCCGGGTCTGGTAGCTGTAAAGGTAACTGGGTGATGAAATATCATAGATTTCTCATAGATGGCGCTATGGCTAAAAAGTCGTTGAAAAGCCAAATACAAAGATACGACACAAGCACTGGTTCGTTCCGTGGCTTAATTGGTATAGCGTCTGGCACGGTATGCTAAAAGACGTCGGTTCGAATCCGGCCGGGTCGAAGGAATTTTTTCTAAGTGTTCGATCTTTGTATTAATAATTATAACCAACATATGAGATCGTTAAAGGTTACAATTTTGGATATGTAGATTTACTTTCGATATCAGTTTAAAGGTTTTTGATATCTCTTATATTTACTGGGCACAGTTAACGATTACACCCTGTATTAAAACTTCTTATTATTATGAAAAGTTAAAAGTAAAAGACTTGGTTTAAGTATAATATACTGTTGGGTAATTTCTCGAAAAGTTTCAAATAGTGGAAATTTTTCAGTAATATTTTCTGAAAAATTAGAAAAATATATTTCGAAGGCATGTATCGTGTGTGATACGTATAAAATATTGAAGTTTATTTAGCATGAATTGTAAAATAAAATTGTATAGTTAAAAGCAAGTTGGCGTAAATGAGATTTAAAGTAATTGAACAGCGAAAATATCTAATCATAATTTTAAAAATCTACATAAGCTCCTAACTTCTTCTTAAAATTATTGGCGTTAGTACGTCCATGTGTTCCGCTAAGCTCGTTCAGTAACTTCAACATTTACAGGTGTCAACTGTCAAATATGGAAAAATATTCGGAAAAGTATTTATTTTTCTGAAAAATATGAATTTTGTAAATGGAAATTATTTCCATGACTTAACACTAGTCGACCCATAGAGTATAAAACCAGAAATAGAGTTTTTAAAATTATTCTGCCAAATCATTACGGCGACAACTGCGCTCCGATAGGCAGGCCCGAATTACATATTTAATATTTAATTACCAATGAAATGTGATTCTGTTTGTATAATTAGATGTTTTGCTGTTTTTCCCACGCCATCGAATGGCACAGTCCCCCATTGTTAAAGATCTCTATCTATCTTTATTACAATAATAACAGAACATTTTTGGAATTATACGGAGACATACAGGGTCAAGAGCACGTCAAGCTTAACGCTTAAGATTTAAATCCAACTCTATGCCGCTTACTATAAGAACGGAACAAAGTGTCAAGCTTGACGTGCTCTTGGCATACATACAGGTAAATTGTTGGCGCTGTACTATTTCTAATTCGTGATTTCAGCGCAAACGAGAGTTGATATTTAAAAGGGATATAAGGCCCATTTGCCTGATGAGTTGCCAGGGATGGATGGCCCTTATTTCTTGTAAATGACTTGTGTATAATATCCAGGCCATAAAATAAAATTAAAAAAGTGTCTCTAGTCAAATGTCACCGCTGTCATTTTGACTTCGTTTCGCACCCTATAGATAATGTATTGTAATGTCAAAATTACACGAACATGGCGACTTGGGAGCCGCGGTTTGGTTCCCCAAGTTCAATGTCGTACTCAGTTTTAAATCCCCCTATCTGAATTCGGTCTTTTCGGGAGAGGCAATTGCAATACTCGAAGCCATTTTATATATTGAGTCCCATAAAATTAATAAATGTTTGGTTTTCTCAGACTCACTAAGTTGCCTCCAAGACATTATTAAGCTACCGTTTCATTCCAAAGACAATTTCTCCATCACCCTCCAAATTAAGGAAGCTCTGTACCGATGTCATTGTGCGGGAATTGAGGTAACTCTGGCCTGGATTCCCGGTCACACTGGGATCAGTGGCAACGAAGCAGTAGACGCCTTTGCAAAGGATGCGACAAGAATTGGCGTGTGCAAATACTGTAAGTGCTTTCCCAGAGATCTGCTCGCCATGACTAAACCCCAAATGCTAGCCTCCTGGTCGGCCCTTTGGCAGGAATCACGACAAACTGTTGGTAGACACTATGGTAATCTCCAACCAAATCTATCCACTAAACCCTGGTTTTTTAAACGTCGCGATTTGCCTAAAAACATCACTTCCACTATTATTCGTTTGCGCTTAGGCCATGTTTGCACACCTGTATTTTTGCGTAAAATCAGAGTTCGAGATCACTCTCTGTGCGAGTGCGGCCTAGAAGACGGTACCTTGGAACACATTTTTTTCAATTGTCCTAATATTGCTGTTCCACTTTATAGCTTACTTTCTCCAAAATTCCCCCGCCCCGTTAACATAAACAACCTCTTAACTTTAGTGTTCTCCCCCCATATTGTTACTCTATGTAAATTTATCCACTTAAATAACATATATTTATAAATATTGTTTTGCTGTTTTGTTTTACATTCTCAACTGAGTACTCCCGTAGTCCAACTTACCAACACCGGTTAATGTCCTATTAGAGCTTAGCGAAAATTTTTTTTTTTGTTTCGTTTTTTTTTCTTTCAACTGTGACATTGGCAAAATCATCAGTTCTCATATTGATGGAGCCATAAAAATAAAAAGTGAAGTGAAGTGATAATGTATATGAATTCTAATGAAATAGTAGAGCAAAGTCCTTTCCCGTTTAATTATTTCTGTTAAATCGTCTTTAAACATAAAAGTTACAAAAACAAGTGCAAGATTGTGCGTTAGTGTCAACATGGCGACAGCAAATGAAGTCCGCAGCCTATTCGAAGCCAGGCTAAAGGAAGGTATTCCAAATCCTCCGGGGTCATTCCACCCTCTAGACCTCGAAAAGGTCAAAGACGAAAAGTATATCAACAGAATTATTGCACATTGCGAAAATGACGCTCAACAATCGGCTGATATGCTGTGGGATATTCTAACTTGGCGCAAAAACGTAGGCGCAAATGACATAAACGAGAATACAATCCGTCTAGATTATGTTAAGGACGGTATCTTTTTTCCTAGAGGTAGAGATGTCGATGGGTCCTTGTTGCTAATTCTAAAATCAAAAAACCATGTCAAAGGCCAAAAGGACATGGACGAGATAAAGAAAATTATAATTTACTGGTTTGATAGAATAGAAAGAGAAGAAAACGGAAGGAAAATTAGTCTTTTCTTCGACATGGATGGATGTGGTTTGAGCAATATGGATATGGAGCTGATTAAATACTTAATAACATTATTAAAATGTTATTATCCATACTTTTTAAATTACATTATCATATATCAAATGCCGTGGGTTTTGACTGCTGCTTTCAAAGTTGTAAAGACCTTACTACCTGCAAAAGCTGTGGAGAAGATGAGAAATGTAACTAAAGACACATTGAAGGAAGTAGTCGCTCCGGAACAGGCGTTGACCTGTTGGGGAGGGAAAGATGACTATACATTTCAGTTCGTACCAGAGAATAGAAGCCTAGAATTAACTCCTCCTAAAAAAGTAACGTTTGCCGAACAAGGAGACAATGCACATTCCCCTGGAGAAATGTTACGTCTCAACCCAAATGATATAATTGTATTTAAGACAGACAACGATGAAGTATCTGGTCAATTTACTATTACTAACATGGATGAAAGTGCTGTGTCATTCAAGATCCGCACAACTTCTCCAGAGAAGTTCCGAGTCAGACCCAGTTCTGGGACTTTAGCCCCAGGGGCGTCTCAAACAGTTCTGATTGTTGTGCAATCTGGGTTCCAGATGAGAACGGTGAGTAAAGATAGGTTTCTGGTTATGTCTGTGCAGATTCCAAAAACAGATCTCTCGCAGAAGGAGTTGAGTGAGGTCTGGCAGAATTCTTGCGGAAGCAAAGTTGATGAATACCGTCTAAAATGCCAATTCCCAGAGAAAGAGTCACGTAACGGTAACTTGTTGGAAAGTAAACCGGAAAAATCAGAAATTAATAATGCTTTATCAAGTTTGCAATTAAATTATGAGATTTTAAACAAGCAAATTCAGAAATTGAAGGTGTTTCAATTCTTAACGATGCTGATGACTATCATTGCTGTCGTTTTAGGATTTCTGATTTACAAAAACGCAAACGAGAGTGGTAATTATTGCGAGCGAATATAGCCTTTAAAGTTTGTGGTCTTAGACACCACAATTGATGTTTTTTATGCATTTTATGTAATACTGTCGTTTATATTCATGGTAAATATGATTTTGTATATAAAATATAGTCAATTGTTGAAATTGGTTAGCAGAATTAAGACAAAAATGTTACAGAAGCTTGAGTTATTCCTTTAGTTACTAGTGCATGGAGTTATTATTTAATCTAGTGGCAAATTAGCTACAGTAGGAGTTGAGATTAAATTATTGTCCACTCGCTTACAACGTGAACATGATCTAAATCATAGTTTCCCAAAGTGGTCCCTACCACCTAAAGTAACTCCACATTCTTATAATTATTAGTACAAAAGATCGAACACAGAAAAATTCGCATTGTCTTCAGCATACCAGGCCTATCATCTCCCGACTACGCTATGGAACAAACTAGCAGACCCAACGAGTTTTTCTACGTGTTTGTTGCAAATCTTTGTTATATGATTATTAGTTTTCATTTTCTTAATTTTGAATTCAATTTAAATCAGCTCAATACTTTCGCATTAAAACGCAAAATCGACAAGGTTCGAGTTAGCGATTGCTGGTGTCTATATTATTTTTATCACTTTCATGTGATAAAAGCACTTCTAACATATGATCACATGTGACTTTATTATACTAAGGCTACAATATATGGGTGAAAATCTTTATTCTTCGAACTAGACGAAACCGCCACCTGTTAGTCCAATTTTTTGTTTTTTTTTTATGATGAGTTTTTGATTATTTTTAGAAAACAGTAAAAATAAACAAAAATATTCAAAGCTGTTTAATTTTTGTATATACACAATACATGGTCATATTTTATACTAAAAAAGTAGTTAAAAAACCAGATACAAAGATCCGACAAACGAGCACATAGAAAAGTTCGTGAGATCGGCTGGTTCGTGCCCTGGCTTAGTTGGCTGAGCGTCTGGCACGGTTTGCTGGAAGACATCGGTAGTGTTCGATCTTTATATTAATAATTACAGAAACAGAGCTTTCAAATATTAAATAGATACTTTTTATAAAATAATAGCATCTAGTCACTGGCTTTTTTTTACGTTTTTTCTAAATTATAGACCAATAAAAAAAGGTTTAATTGTGATAACATTCACATGAATAATTTTCCACTATACCAGAGCATTTAACCAAGATCAAAAGATGAAGGACTTCCATAGTCCTTGTTAAAATAATCATGTCACAATATTAGGCCCGTATGTGGTGCCAAGGCTTTGCGGGCCAGGGAAGCCTCAGTTTTTTATTTAGTAACCATGCAAAAAATGCAAAAACTTAATTCAATGTTTACTCAATTTGTTATTGCTATAATTAACTCTCTGTTGATAAATTAATCTGGATAACTAATTAGTCAGCTAACAGGTACTGCTGTCTTTTTTTTTAATGTTTATTTACACAAGCACACAATAATTTTTTAACTCATTATCATCAATCAATCCAGCTCGAAGGACCATATCGTCGCCTTACTTTCCCAAACTCATATTTTTTACAAAGTTACTGATATATAAAAAATGGATTGTATATACAACTGTTGCAGACTGATTTGATATCACATTTCCGTCATATTCGCACACTAACTTTTACCTATTCTTACATGTATTCAAATTAACATCCTTGATAAGGATAACACCGAATAATCACTCTTTATGGGATACGAGTTTTCTCATACTTTCTCAAGTATGGCATCGATTTGTAACCACCAGACCCAAGTAGAAGATGTAGAGGATCTCGATGAGCTCATAAAATTAAAAACTATTTAAGGTGACGAATATGTTGGCAATAGGTTACTATATTAACTGTTAAACAATGGTGGTTTCTTATGGAAGTACAATTCAAAACTGAACGTCTTTTTGATCTTTTTTAGTTCGTACAAAAAGATTGTGGTAAGGGTGAAATAACATGTATGTGGTGTTAGTTGATTCATTCAAAGCCTACAGAATGTGCCCTTGTCGAGCGTTTTGTTACGTTCGCAACAGTTACATAGAATGTAAACTTATATGTAATTGATATATTGGGTTACTTTATACATTAAGATCATTTTCACGTTGAGTGTGACACAAGGACACTTGTAACTGCTTGATTTGGGACGGAACATTCAAATTTTGTCTTTGATTATTGTTGCATGAAATAGGTGTAACAATTGACTCGAGACGTTACAGTGTGGCTCCGAGTGGGTGAGTTGCTTAAATTTGAGATTCTGTCAGAGCAATGACAAGCTGCACTGCAGTATCAATTTACAGCATCATACTCAACTGTCGCATTGATGCTATAGCCGTGTGTGATGCTTTGTGAATGTGAGTCGCTCAAAGCATCCTTTTTTTAAAATTATCATTGATAATTATCATGATAATTACCACTGAGAAAATGCTATCGCATACAACATCTCGTGCCATGTGTTTATAATAATAATAATATATCTTTTTTGTATCCGAGACGTATTCAAGCGTGTCAAATATAAATCTAATTTCTAACGAGTTTTTCTTCGTCTTTATTTAGTTTTCTCAGTTTGTCATATTCAATCAAAAATTAAAGACAACTATGAACCAGCGTGGACATTCACTATCGGATTTATATATATCGGATAATAATCATGAAATTATCAAAGAAAATAAGTAACTTGGTAATTTTGAACTCTCGAGTAACGCGTTAAAGCGATAGCCGTGTTTGATGCATGGAGCTCATAGTTGTGCGTCAATGAGACAGCCGTGTACTCTGAGCGTCTCCATTCAAAACAAAGTGTCACGCGTCGGTGCGACAGTTAAATATACTTTGAAATATTATATCGGTACATTTAATGTTATTTATATAAAAGAATTTATAACTATTCCAAATGCATTTTTTATGAGATGAAAATCATGTAGAAATAAGATACTATGCTATAGATTTTAATAATAGATGTATGCAAAAACACCATTATATCTATTTTTAATATTTTTTAAACGTTAGGGGGTTTGTTATTTATTAGTGGTGTTCAGGGGTTGTTAAATTAGTTTGGCATGGGTCAAATGTTAACCAAAGTACACTTGAAAACTTAATTTAATGTAAGACAGATTTCGCACCCCTCATGGAAGAATTACATATGTGAAGTTACGTCAAAAATGTTTATTGCTCCATTAGTAATTAATAAATTTTTCAAATTTCTGTTGCGTGATTCGGCTCTTTTTCTTCACAAATTTCGGAGCAATCGCGTAATGTACACACACAAAAAATTATCGAATTGAAAACCTTCTCTTTTTTTAAAGTCGGTTGAAAATCAATAATGCATTAAAATAGTTAACCTAAGCCAAACTAATAGCAATAATATATATAGTAATTTGGTTTGTATCATAGTCTAAACAACTGTTACTAATCACTATACATGGCCTTGTAAGATTTCTAAATAAAACCATTATTAATCTAATATTTGTATTGTGATAATTGAAGTTTATCTGTAAAACTCATTATCTATATCCGTATATCAGAAGCAAAGGGACCTAACTCGTATCTACTGCTGGCCTAAGAAATATGTTCTCGATTTCAGTAGTAGTTGTGGAAAAAATTCCATATTGAAAAATTTTTCAGTGAAAAAACTAAAGTATTTATGGAAAAATACACACACCGTCAAATTTAGCAGAGCACTAGTCAAATTCGCAAAATAATGTAGTTTTTTTTTTTCGAAAATCTGATCGATGGTTTTCGCGATTGTTACACATAGATTGTTACCAGCTACGTCTAATACAACCACCCAATTTTTTCACTATAGTTACAAAAGTTATTAATTAAATACCTTTTACTAGGAAACATTCAAATTTACGCTACAATGAATTTTTATTAAGTTAAATTTATTATTAATTAATAGTAGAAATTAGAATATATTAAAAACTTTTAATTAGTACTGCAGTCTTATGTCTGTTTGGTATTTTTCATCAGAGGAAATACTGGTTCTTAAACTGATCCGATCCGAAACGTTGGTTTGTTCGAAAAACAAATATACGCGACTTAAATCTGGTTTCATTAATTTTATTTATTTATAATCTGGTTACAAAAACCCATAAATACACACCTTGTATAACAAAAATACTAATTATTTACATGTATTGTCGGCGGCCTCGGAAACGTGGTAGATATAGTTAATAATTAATAATATAAATAGTTTATTATCTAGTTAATTTGAGATTTAAAAAAATTGACTGTCATTTTTTATGAATTTCTTAGAATTTTGGTTTTTTTATAACATATGCAACAGTTTTCTACTAAATACCTGTTTGTAGAGAGGTTCAAGATTCATTTTGCGTTCTTGTGAGTTTCGTAAAGTTTAAATCTTTGTTAAACTGTTACAATTTTTTCTTACTTCACTGAAAATAATTGCATATATAGTGCTTGTTTTTCGGCGATTGTTACACATAGGAAATTAATGAACTAAATCACGTGTATTTGTTTTTTCAAACAAACTTACGTTACAGCCCCTTCAGGTCTCGTGGTTACAGCTAACTGGAAAAACTACCGGACTAGAATAAATATAAATTTAGTTAAATAGGCAATTTTTATTATTTTTTTAATTACCACTGTCTCTCAATAAAACTTCAGCAACTTCAACATCGACCTAGTACAGACTAGGTCGATGTTGATTTATTTTGTACTTTATATATGTTATTTACGTCCCACTGTTGGGCACGGATCTTCTCTCAGGCAAGGGTTCTCGAGGGCGAAGTCTAATTCGCATTTATATATAAAAATTACTATTTTACATTCTCACTTTTTTGTTCCGCTAAAAGTATCGGTGTGTGTATTTTAAAAATATAATTATCCCGAAATTCACATCGGCTTTTCTTCTTTAAATGTCTACGTTTGTTTACAAATATTTGTCACATAAGAGATTATTTTTTATTGGAATTATTGGATTCTGCGTAAAGCAAGTTTGCCATGTAGCATATTTGTTATTTTCTTGTTGTTTTTTTTTTGGTACTTCCCTTGGTTAATTTCTATTTGTGTGGTTTTGATTGCCAAATATAATAAATACACAAATGTAAATAGTCATCCGAAGTGTCGCCAGTAGAGCAAGCATTGACACCAAAGTACATTTGGCTGACATAATGTGTGATAAAACTATCCCTGAGGTTCTGCCATAATTGGACAAAGTTTTTTATATTGTATCGTTACGGAAAATATCACAAATAGTATTAGACATGTAAAGTAGATTAAGTTTGTTTTAGTCATTTTAATAAAACTTGTTGATGGCATGGCAATTGGCATGATTTTTATTCTTTGTCCTGACACTATATCCTATTTCATACATATAATACATCACAGAGCAATAAATGCAGTAGAAATGCTTAGTGGACGTGGCATGTGTGCCAACAGTACGCGCAGTTTCGCATACTTGAGCTCCGCCATTTTCGCTTTGTACATTATAGTCGTGTCATTATCTCACGCAAAACCTTCAAATACCATGTATTTAAAAGTAAATAAATGCAAAATTTCTACACGCGCTCCGAGACTAACCTAACCTTGAAATAGTAAATCGATTGTATCTTCTAAACAAAGGAGCGACTAATTCTAAAATTTCGCGACTAGAACCGACTAATTCTCGACTTTATCTGGGTGCAATCTGATCTATGCTAGGCGTTGTGGTTCTCGAGTTTCAGAAATAGTGTCGCCGTAATAAGCTTATTCTTAGAGTGGACAGTAAAACACCTTATTAATTTAAA